AAGCAAAGTATCTAGGACCTTATAGAATTTCCAGGGTTAAGGGAAATGATACTTACGATGTCGAGCGAGTAGTAAATGGGGAAGGACCGCAGAAAACTAGTTCTTGCGCGGAATTCATTAAATCATGGGTAAATTGAAAAACAGCTTTCATTCGAGACGAATGCTAATTTCAGGTTGGCCGAGTTGTAGGAATTAAAAATGTAGATAGACACTATTCAATTTCCCTTAGTATGTGTATGAGAGTTGTGATGAGACCCTTCGGACTTCCTCGTACGAGTTCGGTTCTTGATGTAAATCGCATTGCCAGAATTCAGTCAAAATTGTATCTCCGAGAAAACAAGACGTGTCGATCTCAAGTCGCATTGTATAAATTATTTCATCAAGTTTAATTAAAGTCTAATTATATATTTTAAATAAAAGCAGTAAAGTTATTTTATTACCTGGAGAATCAATAAATATAAATAAAATACTACACTAATAACGGAATTAAGAGGCTTTCCCGGTGAGAGGAGGAGAATTTTCGCGAAAGCGGTGCGGCGTACTGGTTGGACAATGACCTTAAGGTGAGATCGCAGGTGCACGACGACTATTGAAACCCGGATGTAAGCCTTTCGAACCTGACGATGCGAAAGAGTCTCCACGCTGATGATGATTAACGTCACGGCCTAGCAAAATTTTATCTCAAAATAAAGTCATCATCATTCCTAATATCATCAGAGAAAATATTCGTCATCCTATATATATCAATTTTTTAATGTCCTTGATCATACTACCGCCAACTTAACCTAAAAGTCTCAATTATCTTTCAAATAGGATATAATCTTATGATATCCTAAAATAAATCAAAGCTGTTAAAAATCATGATTTTTCTTTAAAAAATTCTATTAAAAAAATCATTCTTTTTTTTTTATTTCAATCAGATTTTTTTTATTTAAATCAAATCTTTTCTAAAGCTTGGTTTTTAGTGATGATAATAAAAAATTAATTTTATAACAGAAACGACAAAGAATAGGTATTTTTATTTTTCTTAAAAAAATGTTAAACCGAACATGTTAGAAATAAATGACTAACTTCTGTTTAATTAACAGTATTTATATTTACCTAATAAATTTTGGTCTTCTTATAAGTTTTTCAATTTTTGAATTCAAAACTTTAAACAAGAGTACTAAATAGAAGGATAAGGATTTAAATTTCCAACAATTTAAACTATTAAAAGATGCATTTGAATAAAAATTACAATTTTCTGTAAATAAGAAATATCTTTAAAAATTCTGAGTTACTCAAATCGTTTCTTATTGATAGAAAAATATAATTTTTATTCAAATGCAACTGTTAATTGTTTAAAATGTTAAAATATTAATATTCTTTGTCTTTAAATCGAATTTAAAATCTATTAATTTATCTTTTTCATATAAAATTCGAAATCTTGACATTCGACTAACTTTTGTTATTAAACTCAAGTTATCAATGTTTCCATTGACGCAAAAAGTTAAACGTTTTTTTTAAGATCAAGAAGGAAATAATTTTTGATAAAAAGAACTTAATTATTTTCGTTACATCGGGGTTACCATAAAAATTTAATTTTTTTTCCCGGCCTTTCCCTGATTTCTAGACAAAATTTGGACTTTTTTCCTGACACTAAAGAATATTCTGATTTATAGGGTAATGTCACATTGAGTGGACCGCCTGAGCTTTTAAGTTATCTGACAGCGGAAACGTGAAATAAATAAAACGAATAGCAGCACCGCACCTAAAAACCGTAAGAAATTATGTTCCGCGATAATCATATACGTTATCGTTTGATGTAACGCATTTTTAAGATCACAAACCAAAAAAGAAGTCGCTCTTACAATGAGTAAAGTGATTCGGAAGTGTAAAAGTAGTGTAAAATTTAAGTTTAAAAAGGTAACTTATTTTTTTCCTACTACTTTGGACATTGAAATTGATTGTCTTAGTTTCATTAAGTGATAATTTTGACTCAAAAAAAAAAAAATTTTGTATCTGCCATAAAAAGTTGCATGTCACCATGAGTGGACTGCCTGTTTTTTTTATATTTTTAATGTCAGTTTACCATTTTTATGGAAATAAATTGACAATAAATTGGTTTGAAACTATGTTTTATGTTCTTTATTAATTTTTTTGTGATTTTGATGTGATATGTGCCAAAATTATTAAAAATGACCGGTCTCGCGACAACTTGTATTTTTAATTAATGACGACTTCCTGACATAATAAACTGTTTAAACTCTTAAGTTGGTGTTCTATTTATTGTGTTTAATCACAAAGAGTATATTTTAACCCCTTTTACACTTGGAATAGAAACCTCCAATTAATTTGCTGTCATAAAGAATTATTTAGAAAAAAAACTTAGGTGGTCCACTCAAGGTGACATTACCCTACTCTAAAAATAATTAGATACTCAACTAAATGTTCTATTACATTTTATCATTTAAATTCATTAATAATTTTCTAGAATATTTAACTAAAATTCTTCCTTAAATCAATTATAATTAATAATTTTTCAATACCTAAGTTTTTTTTAAATTTTCAAACTCTTTTGTTTACAATTCAATTTTAAGAAATTTCGATTATTCAGAAATTCTTCAATTACATATATATATTAGAAAATAGAAACTTCAAATAAATTCAAAAAGAAATTCAATTAAACTTTTTTAGAAAAATGTGAAAAGTATGAAAATTTCAGATTTTGAAGGATTTGGATTTGCAACCTTCTCAAAATTCAATTACATATTTAAATGTACAAAATAAATTCTTTTATTGAATAATTAAATATTTCTCAAAATTGAATTCTCATACACAATTTTTTCAACAAATTTTTAAATAACTGAATTCTGTCGAAGAATTTAAATCAAATTCTCAAAAATAATTCCATTTTTCAAGGAATTCGATTAAAATTGTAATAAAAATAATTAAAATTCTGCGATGAATTTTATTATTTATAAAAATAATTAAATTCCAGCAAAGAATTTTATTATTTTTGAATATAAGAATTTTTTGCCAAAAATTTTAATCAGATTTTTGTAAATAATTAAATTTTTGAGAAGAATATTGTTAAAATTTAGAAAAGTAATTTAATTCTTTCGAACAATATTATTATTTTTGAAAATAATTGTATTCCTCAAAAGAATTTTATTATTTTGTCAAATAATTGAATTTCTGCAAAGAATATTATTACAATATAATTGAATTTTTAGGAAGAATTTTTTTTGCTTTTTTAAAAAAAATTGAATTATTGAAAATAAATTTATAAAAAATTTGTAAATAAATTTCATTATTTATGAAAATAACCAAATGTTTGCCTAGAATTTTATTAACATTTTTTTAAATAATTGTATTGTTTTGGAAATTTTTATTAAAGTAGTAGATAATGAAAATATTTTAATGGAGAAAAATTTTTGAAAATAATTGAAATTTTGCCAAGAATTTTATTAAAATTTTTGAAAATAATTAAATTTTGTCGAATATTTTTATTTATTAGGCTAATAATTAAATTCTTGCCAAGAATTTACTAAAAAATGTTTAAATAATTGGATTTTTTCGAAGAATTTTATTATTTATAAAGATAATTGAATTCTGGTCTTGATTTGTATTAAAATCTTTGAAAATAATTGAATTTGTGTAAAGAATTTTATTAAACTTTTTGAAAATAATTGAATTTCGAGAAAGAATTTTGAAGATTTTTATTTATGTTGATAATAATAATTGAATTCTTGACAAAAATTTACTAAAAATTGTTTAAATAATTGTATTCTTGCAAAGAATTTGTTTATTTATGAAAGTAATTAAATTCTTGATAATTGAATTTTATTAAAAACTTTTTGAAAATAATTCAAATCTTTGCAAGAATTTTATTAAAATTTTTCAAAACAATTCAATTCTTTCGAAAAATTTTATTATAATTTTTATAAAATAATTGAATTTTGACGAAAAATTATATAAAAATTGATTTGAAAATAATTGAATTTCCAGGAAGAACTTTGTTATTTATAAATTCTTATAAAGAATGTTATTACAATTTTTGAAAATAATTAAATTATTAAGAGAAATTTTATTAAAATGGTATTGAAAATAATTGGATTCATGAAAAGAATTTTATTATTTTTAAAAATAATTTAATTTTTGCAGTGGATTTTTTTAATTTTGCAAATAATTGAATTTTTGCGGAGCATTTTGTTATTTATGAAGGTAATTTAACTTTATTAAAATCTTTGAAAATAATTGGATTTTTGTGGAGAATTTTATTACAATTTTAAATAATAATTGCATTTCAATCTGATAATAATAATCAATCAATAATCTGAATTATTAAAATTTTTCAAAAATAGAAGTTATGTAAAATTTTTAATTAAATTAATTTTAAATGGAAATTTTTTTAAAATTTAAATTGAAACCTTTTAAAGTTTATCTATATATTTATGAAAATAGTATAAACGGAACTAAAAAACGGAAACTTTTAAAAAACGGAACTTTTAAAATTGAATTAATTTTGAAATATTTAAGTAAAATCATTCATTCTTGAAGAATTAAGTTATTTAAAAAGAAATTATTGTCAGAAGTCGAAAAAATTGAAGTTTTTTTTATTAGAATTTGTGGTAACTTGTTAGTAACTTTAGTTTCAATTTTTGTTCCGATTCTTTCAGATTCTTTGTTGAATTCTTTCTTAAGTCAAAGTAGATTAAAAAAGCTAAATTTCTAAAGTAAAAATGTGATTTAAATCAAGATTAAAATGGAAACATGTCTTTGATTTAAATCTTAACAGTCCTGAAATAAGACATTTGTTTCTCTTTTCCAAGACAATATAACAAATGGAAAAACGAAGAAAAGAAGAAAACGAAGGAAGAGCTTAAAATCTATTTGGAATTTAATATTTTGCGTTTCGCTTCGGTCTTCTGAAATGGCATTTATGGTTTTCCTTGACGCTTATTTACTCTTTATTCTTTATTGGAAGGAGAGAAAAGAAAAGGAATATATAGTCTTACCTGTTGAATGGCTTGATGTAAAGGAATGCCGCGTTCGCGGAGGGTTTCTTCAGTAAGAGTTGGAGCATGTTCTAATGCAGCTTCACTCACAACACCACTACTTCCGGCAACAGCCGGATTTTCACTTCCCGAACCATTTGTCGTCGTTTCGTCCATCACCATTGGTCGAACAATATATTGCTGTCTGTCCATCACCTGAAAACATTAAAATTATTAGTTATAATTCCAAAACATAATTCGAAAAGTAATTAAAATAATCAAAATTTAAATAATAGGTCCCTGAAATTATTATCAAAAACAATTATTTTGCGAAGCCGAAAAGAATCAATTTTTTATTTATAATTTCAGGTTTAAAAAGTGCACACCAAAGATCTCGAAATTCTTGTTAATTTTAATCAGGGTTGCCACAAATATTTAATTTTATTTTTCCCTGACTTTTCCCTCATTTCCAGACAAAATTTTCACTTTTTCCCTGACGCTAAAGAATATTCTGATTCACTCTAAAAATTATTAGATACTCAAAAAAATGTTTGATTCAATTTATTTACAAATTTCTTCAAAAGTAAAATTATTCAAAAACATCAATAACTTTTTTTTAAATAAATATTTATTGATTATTATTTTTACATAGGAATTAAAATTCTTCAAAAGAATCAAATTCAAACCTTTTTAAAATTCAACAAATTACAAGAATATTTTGTTATAAAACACGAAGACGTCGATCACTCCGAGTCAAAGACTCGAAGTGATCGCCTTCTTCATGTTTTGTAATAATTTAAATTACAATAAAATTTTTCATAAAAAATTTAATTATTTACAAAAATCTTAATAAAATCCTTTTCGCAAGAATTCAATATTATTTTTAAAAGTAGTAAAATTTCTCAAAAAAAATTCCATTATTTGAAAAAAATGTAATATGAAGTTCGTTGCAAGAATTTAACTATTTTTATAAATAATAAATCGATTATTCGGGAATTCATTTTTAAATCAATTTTTATTAGAAAATTCTAGAAGAATTCAATTATTTAAATTAAAAAATAAATAATTTATTGAATAATTGAATATTTGTTGAAATTGAATTCTCATAAAGAAAATTATATTAACAAATTTTTAAATAATTGAATTCTTTTGACAAATTTCAATCAAATTTTTAAGAATAATTACATTTTTCGAGGAATTCGATTAAAATATTGTATCAAAAATAATTAAAATCCTGCGATGAGTTTTATTTTTTATGAAAATAATAAAACTTTTTCCCAAGAATTTTATTAAAATTTTTACTAAAATAATTGAATTTCGTAGAAGAATTTTATTATTTATAAAGATACTTGAAATTTTGACAAGAATTTTTTTTTTAATTTTTAATTTAATTTTAATTTAATTTTATTTAATTTTATTTATTATTTTAATTGTAATTTTTAATTTTTAATTTTATGCAATTTCGTATTTTAAATAATTGAATTCCTGTGAAAATATTATTACTTATGAAAATAATTGAATTATTTCGAAGAAATTTATTAAAAATTTTTAAAATAATTGAATTCCTGTGAAATTTGGACAAGAATTTTATTAAAATTTTTTTAAATAATTGAATTTCGATGAAGAATTTTATTATTTATGTTGATAAATGAATTCTTGTCTTGAATTTTATTAAAATATTTGAATATAACTGAATTGTTTTAAAGAGTTTTATTAAAACTTTTGAAAATAATAAAATTTTGACGGTGCATTTTGAAGATTTTTATTTATAAAGATAATAATTGAATTCTTGACAAGAATTTACTAAAAATTGTTTAAATAATTGAATTTTTGCGAAGAATTTTATTATTTATGAAGATAATTGAATTCTTGTCTTGAATATTTTTATTTACAAAGATTATTGAATTCTTGTCTTGAATTTTATTAAAATCTTTGAAAATAATTTAATTTTTTTCAAGAGTTTTATCAAATTTTTTGAAAATAATTGAATTATGACGAAGAATTATGAAGATTTTTATTTATAATGATAATAATTGAATTCTTGACAAGAATTTACTAAAAATTGTTAAAATAATTGAATTTTTGCGAAGAATTTTATTATTTGTATTGATAATTGAATTTTTGTGAAGAATTTGATCAAGATTTTTGAAAATAATTGTATTTCAGGGAAGAATTTTATTATTTATAAAAATAATTGAAATTTTGATAAGAATTTAAAAAAAATTTTTAATCATAAGTAAATTTCTGCGAAGAATTTTATTACTTTTGAAAATAATTGAATTTCTGGAATCATTTGTAACTTTTCCAAAATTTAATTTTTCAAAAGAATTTTTAACTAAAATTCTTCTATTAATCTAGTATTTAGGAAAATAAAATAAAATTGTAAAAATTATTCATTAAATAATTTATAAGTACCTAATAATTTTAAGATAGTCCTTCCAGAATGAAGTTATTTAAAAAGAAATTATTGTCAGAAATAGAAAAAATTGAAGGTTTTGTATTAAAATTCGTGGTACTTAATTTCATAGTTTACGAGGCAAACAAAAAAAAACATCAAAATTCAGAATTTTCTCAGGAATTTTAAAATTTCAATTTTTTCCAGTACTTTTAATAAAAATCCCTGACTTTTCTCTGATTTTCCTGACCAATTTTACCTTCACTGACTTTTCCCTGAATACCCTGACTTTCCTGACCTGTGGCAACCCTGTTAATATTCTATTACTAAAAAATGATAATCCACATCAAAAGAAAATATTTGATTTATCTCGACCGTTTTTTTTTCTTCAAGAGCCGAAGAGAAATTATTCAGAATGACAAATCACTTATACGAGAGCCGAATTCGTATTTCCTGCTCTTATATACAAACGAGAAACAATTTAAATCTAGAGGTAAATTTTTAAACCGCAGTGTATAATTTTATACATGCTACAACACGAATGTTTTCTTTTTTCAAAGGAGAATCGAAATCCGCTCATTATTTTGTACAAAAAACAAAAACTTCTTCATATCTAGTATATCGACGAAAAAAATGATCAAATCATCATCATCATCATCATCAGCAGCAGCGAATGAAACTGAAAATATTTGATGTGCGCTAAAATACAGTGCAATGAGAGTTGCGGTAAAAATACGATAACAGAAACTGTAACCGGTTTTAGTATCGTACATACCAAGCTTAAGGAATAAGTAATGAGGCGATAAGAACGTAAATGCTTAACGTGAGAGAAAGGTTGACTGTAACTGCGAGATAGAGGAAGTGAGAACCTCTGAAGCAGGTTACTCCTGTAATTATACATCCCGCGTCTCAAGACTTCTAGCGTGCTCCTAAAAATGCATATTCATAGGCGCACACGTATATCAAGCAATCAAAAACATTTTCTATAATTCTCAAATCATTTTCACAGGGTTGCCACAAAACTTCATTTCGCTTTTCCTTCATTTCCAGATTAAATTTTCACTTTTTCCCTGACCCTAAAGAATATTCCGATTCACTCTAAAAGATTTCTATTACATTTATTTACACGTCGATGAAATTCTCAACGTTTATGATCAACAGTTGAAAGAAGAAAAAAACATTTTTCATGACAAAAACAATGGAACGTTTATATTATTTATAATGTGATAAATAATATATTCTCTTAATTTGAATCAGTTAAAAAACATGGTTTTAACACTGACAATCAGCAGTGACTGACTTTTTGCTTCTGAATCAGTTTAAAATAACAGAAAAATTATCCACAAAACACCAAAACTTTTCTAAATATGTATTAAAGTTTTGCTTGCATACTTCGAAAAATTTACTTGCAAAGTTTAGTTAAAATTGTGTAAAGATTTAAATTTCTCACTCCAATAAATGTTTATCGTCAAATTTTCTTAAAAATATAGCTTGAAAGTTTCCTAAACATTTGAATTACATATTTTCGACTATACTTTCGTGAAAATTTAAGTTAAATTTTCAAGAAAGTTTTGCGCTAAACATTTATTGAAGTGGGATATTTAAATCTTTACACAATTTTCACTAAACTTTGCATTTAAATATTTCGAAGCTTGCGAGTAAATCTTTAATAAATTTTTAGGAAAGTTTCGGTGCTATGTAGGTAGTTAAACGTGACTAATTGAATCAATCCAAAAAAATTGCATTGAAACATCAGTTATTTTTAACTAATTGTCAGAAAAAAATATTGCTATTTGAATTAGTGACTGACTTTTTGCATTATCCTTATTAATAAAATCAGACTTTTGTCTGTACATTGCATAGAATTCAAAATTTCTATTATATTCCTTCTTTTTACACTCTAAGGAATGCGAAAATACTATTAAGAAAATTATGTGTGTATGTGTATATGTGTGTATGTGTGTATGTGTGTATGTGTGTATGTATGTCCGCAAATTTTCGACCGCGTATCACGGAAAAACGGTTCGATCGTTTGAAGTGAAACTTGGCAGTCTTTTAGGCATTAGCCTAACTTAAAATCCTAGCGATAGTAGATTAAAAAATATTAATATGGACGAAAGTTATGCCATTTTTTCAAAAATTCGAAAATTCGAAATTTTTAGTTTTTTCATATACTTTAGTGAATTGTACTTAAACTTGGTACAGGGTTAATTTTAGTGTTTCTTATTAAGATTTAATCGTCAGAATAATAAAATTTTGAATAACAAATAAAAAGTGTTAGATTTAAATATTGAAAAATTAAAAAATTAAAAGTTTAAAAATTGAAATTTTTTGTAATTAATTTTTATACGGTTGTATTTCTTAGGTCAACAATAAAAATTTGTTGTTGAAATCATAAGTTTACTTTCTTAAAAAAATTCTATTAGGTCAGAATATTAACAATATCCATATAATTAATATGAGACTTTTGTCAGTATATTGCACAGAATTCAAAATTGCTATTATATTATATTAATTAATGATCAAAAAATGAAAAACTCAAATTTCATTCTGATGACTAAATTGTAATAAAAAATACTAAAATTAACCCTGTATCAAATTTAAGTAAAATTGATGACAATAATTATTTCAAAAGATTAATTTTGAATTTTAAAAATTTTGATAATATATAGCACTAGCTGTCGTACCCGTCTTCGACGGGTTTTAGTTTCTACCAATACATTTAACAATGTTTCTACCAATCTGGAAAATCAAAAATACCCGGGAATTTAATTTCACCGGAAAATTAATAATTAGTAACCATTAGCTATTTCGGTAGTAT